TTTGTCACAGCACACAGTTCTCTGATTTTTTTTTTCTTCTATCATGTAACTTTCCTCTTTCACAAACACCTAAAACCCTGCAACATTTTTTCCTAATAATCACTGAGGTCCTGAAAAATCTTGAGGATGAAACACCGAAATAATTTAGAAAAAAATATCCCAGTGCAGGCTCTGAAATGACATTTTTTCAATTCACATTCTGACAAGATATATAAAAACATTATGGCAGAACTCTAGAGAGAATATGGATAAACCCATTCACTGAGGAACTAACTGGAGAAACAAGAAGATGGACAAATATCCAGCCCCAGGAAAGCTTCTCCCTGTGTTTAAGATTCTTGCCTTATCAAACTTCTTACAGGTCCATTTAACTGGGGTCTCTTTAATTCCAACACAGTTACATCCTCCAGGCAACTGCACTTAACTGCATTTAAGTTTGATCACAAACACCCATCTCTTGGTTAAAACTTGGAACAATGCATCTATCCCAAAAAGCTACATAGTATAGGGAATTATTCATAAATAGAAATTATTATAAAACCAGAAAAAAAATACAAATTATTTTCATAAGAGTGCTCAAGAAATGCATAAATTTCACTCCTTTTTAAGAAATAGTAAAGACCCTTCTTCATAGAAATAATATTTATATATTTACTTTCTATAAATACCTTACTCCTTGAAGTAAGTAAAGCCATCTTGTGAACATACCCAGCTGCTACATACGACTGGAAACTGCCTCTAATTACTTATTTCTGAGGTGAAACTATACACTGAATGCAAGAAACAAAAAACAGTTTAAAGCGTCTACTTTAGTTCAGACCAAATTCTCTCTCTGTATATATATTTTAATTAACTCTCCCCACAAACTCAAAAAAGATGTGGACAGACTGGAGAAGGTCCAAAGCAGGGCCACAGAGATGATCAAAAGTTTGATCAAAGGTTCAGAGAACGTGCCCCATAAGGATGTCGAAGGAGGTAGATCTCTTCTCTCTGGAGAAGGCTCAGGAGGGACCTTCTCCCTGAAGAAGCAAAGGCTCAAGAGTGATTTCATCATAGTATTCCTGTTTTGTCTTGATATGAGAAAGAATGTTTTTACAGTGAGAGCAATCAATTCACTAGAAGAATCTCCCCAGGAACATGACAGAGCACCCATCACTGGAGTTTTTAAAGATGCGATTACACAAGGTGCTGAATAACCTCATCTAGGCTACCTTTCCCACAAAAGGCTGGACCAAATCACCTTTCGAAAGATGCCTTCTGGGGTCCCTTCCCCATAAAACAGTCTTGGGCTGTTCTACAAGTCTAAGATTCTAACTTCAGTCCATACAATGAAAATCATAAGTAATCAGTACTACTGAAATCTAAGCCAGTCATTAAGCTCTGATTTGGATGACTAACCTTAGAAAATATTGCACATTCCATGAAAGATCCTCCAAAGAGTATTTAGATCAGAAAACTGCATTATATCAATCATCTCACTTTAAATTCTTGAAAATCCCAGTCCATGCTCATTCAGAAGTAGTGATGACCGCTGTTCCTCTGAGGAAAGAAAAAAGACAGGCTGCTTACTGTTCTTTATTAGAAGTCATAAGGAAAAAAACCTAAGAATACTTTTCCCTCAAGACCAAATTTGCTCTTGTAGGTCACAAAAAGATCTTTCAGGAGACCCAACTTACTTTGTCTGACATTTTTATAGGTAATTTATATCGGTGATTGGCTGAGTGGCCTGTTTTTCAAGGATGCTATCTATTCATGGTTGTTATTACATTGTCTAATATTTCAAAATTCTTTACAAAGAATGTCATTTTACAGTACATATTCTGCCAGGTCTCCTCTGTAACCCTGAATATATCACCCCTTGCCTGCTCATCTCTGAGTATATATGTACATGCCCAGAAGCACATTATTACCTAATCTGAACGAATTTCTCCAGGTTACAGCATTTCTTTTACTACTTGAAAAAGAGCTCATGATTCTGCAAATGCTGTTGAATGCACCATGCTCTAAAAATCACCTTCACAAAATTAAATATGCATGTTGACATTCAGCCCCAAATATTAACTCCTTTTCACCATTACTTTGGTATTTTTCTTCATGTTTTGACTGTTTTGTTGGATGAGTAGCAAATTCTCCTCTGTGATCCAATTACACTGAAAAGGGTACAGCCACTAATCCCAGGATCCTGGCTATTCAGTCCAGATTGAACATTTAGATTCTACTTATCCAAATTCCTGCTCTGTTTTCAGCAGAAAATTGAAATCTTTCATTCACAACCTAACAGATCTTATACCCTTATGGTCCACAAAAACAGTCACAAAAAAAGACACAGCACCGCTGCAATAGTGGTGAAACATCCTTTGCTGTGATGTAACTGCTTATGTGTTTTGCAAAAAGATTGCAACCAGGACACTATATAATCATGTATTAAAACACGCAATAGAAGCAACAGCTATTGGATGCTCTTCTTGGAGCTAAGGCATCTATCAAAATAGTTGTTAAGCATTTTGAACGGTATAAGAGAGCAAAGTCTGCAGTGTGCCGGATCCTGCTAATATTTTCACTGGCAAAATTTCCTTTGTGTGGTGCAGTCAAAGACAGTTGATGCTTTCAGTTAAAAGGCATCTATTTATTTTATGCTAATGTAGGGTGGTGTGTTGTTTTGGGTTGGTGCTTTTTTTTTTTCCCAGTGAATGTTAATGCACAACTCACTGCATTTACCAAATGCGTATTTTAGAGGACATTTGCTAAATTGTTTGACACAAATAAATCTGTCATAAAAACAATTCTGCTTCTTATATCCAGGAATGAAAAAAACTGTGGCAAATTTGCTATAACATGTTTTTCAGAAAAAAGTATAGGAATTGACCTTCCTCCATTTTTTCATACAGCAGTACATGCACAGTGGTATCTTTTAATATACTATTGGTCACTGGAGAAAATCAGGAGACAAAACCAATGACCTGATATTACAGGGTTATTACAAAATCCAAAGAGACACTGCATTAATAAAGAAGTTCATGAATCATAGTATGCTAGAATGGTTTGGGTTGGAAGGGATCTTAAAGATCATTCTTAAGAATAAAGACACCTTCCACTAGACCAGGTCGCTCAAAACCCCACCCAACCCAGCCTTGAACATTTATGTGGATGGGCAGCCACAGCTTCTCCAGCTAACCTGTTCCAGTGTCTCACCATCTTTATAATAAAGAATTTCTTCCTAATACCTAATCTAAATGTACTCTCTTTCAGTTTAAAGCCCCTTGGCCTGTCACTACACATGCTTGTAAAAGTCCCTCTCCACCTTTACTCTCAGCCCCTTTTAGGTACTGGAAGGTTGCTCTAAGGTCCCTCTGGAGCCTTCTCTTCTCCAGCCTGAATAATGAACATAGTTGATGTTACTGAACTAAGAGGGTCTAAATTATGCCAAGGTATAAATCAGTCATAATAGTGAACATGCAACATGACCTTTGGTTTAAGAGACACACTGCTTCATCCAGTAGCCACATGCCCCTGAAAAAAAAGGACTAAGATGATGAAGAATGTGGAGATGGACAAAGCAGAAGGAGCCACATTTGAGACTCATTCTGACTAGCCTGAATTTGTCCAAGATTTCCCATGAGGAGGGCTGCCACCAGCTTTGAACGGGCTGACTCCAAGCACCAGCCTTCCCTCCACAAGCCCACACTACTACTACTGCCAACGCTGACAGCGCGAGCAAACCCAAACACCGCCTATTATTTTCTCCTACCCGTCGCACCCAAAGCCTTCCTCCCACGGCACCGTTAGTCAGCCTATGGGCGAGAAGCCGCATATGTGCACAGGGGCTGAACACCGTGCTGTAGCTGTGAGGATGGCGGCGGGGCTTGCAGGGCCTCCCCACCGGCCGCTGTCATTCTGAGGGGGACCTTCAATTATCAGAAGCCTCGGCCTTGGCAATGCCGGCAGCGGCTTGGGCCTGGGCCGCCCCTTAGAAGGCGGCCACGCCGTATCCCCCCCATCCCCGAGGGAAGGGTTGCAGCTCCCGGGGCTCACACAGGCGGCCCAGCGGCCCTTCCATGAGGGAGGAAACGAAGGGGCGGGTGGTGTAAGCAGCGAGGGTCTACCCGCCTGTGCGCGGAGAGGGTGGACCCTCGCCCCCTCGGCGCAGGCGGGCAGGCATCGGGCGGGGTGGTGTGAGGGGATGGCGGAGCCGGTTGAAGGGGAGGGGGGGGGCGGCTGCGAACGTGTGTGCGCCTGTGTGGCGGCGCGGGCGGCGTGCTCCCGCCCTTCCCCCGCCGGCGCCCGGTGCTGCGCGGTGGGCTGGCGCTGGGGTATTTACGGTAAAGTGGACCCGGCGGTGGCAGCTCGGTGTCAGGTGATCGGCGCTGAGAAACCGTTGCCGCCTCCCGGGGAGGAAAATGCAAGATGGCCCAGCGGGGCCGTGAGGGGCTCCGAGGTGCCCCTTCTCAGCCCGCCGCCGCCTGCCCCACGCGTAGGGCCGGCGGGAAGCGCTGAGGCCAACCCCGCCGCACCACAGCCCGTCCCCGGCGGGGGCACCGAGCCATGGGGCTCTGCTACAGTCTGCGCCCGCGGCTCTTCGGCGACGCCGGCGGTGGCTCCATCTCCAGCACCGGCGCCACCTCGGAGCCCGAAGCGCCGGCGGAGCCTCACGCCGCCCCGCAGCCGCAGCCCCTCGGCGCCCCGCTTCGGCCCGGCGGTAAGCCCGGCGGGGAGGCGGACGGGCCGCCGCTGCTACTGCAGAACGGCGGCGGTAACGGGGCGACCCCCGAACGGCCGCCGCTGCCCAAAGCCGGCGGCCCCGGCGGCGCGGGGAAGGCGGCGCGGCAGCAGGCGCTGCACCAGCCGCCGGCGCTGCAGAGAACCTGGGAGAAGCTGCGCCTAGAGGAGCGGGAGGCGGAGAAGGAGGCGAGGAAAGTCAGTAAGAGCATCGACCGGGCGCTCAAGGAGCAGAAACGGGAGTACAAGCAGACGCACCGCCTGCTGCTGCTGGGTACGTGTGTGTGTATGTGCAGGGATCTGCGTGTGCGAGGCGTCTGCCTGGGCGGGCAGGTGCCCGCGGGGCTCCCCGGCAGCGCCCCCTCCCCGGCTTCCCCCGTTTTCCTTGGGCGCCCTCCATCCCTCCTTTGTCTCCCCGCTGCCCCCTGCTCTCCCTCCCTCCCCCCAGCCCTGCCCTCCCGTCTCCGTGCCTGGGCTCTCCCCCAGACAGGTTTACACCTTTTTCTTCCCTTCCCCCCCCCCCCCCCTTCCCTCCTCCCCCTTTCTGGTCCTGGCAGTCGTTTTGCAATGGAGGGAACACGGTCGGCGCTTGTCCTGCGAGGGAGAGCGGCTCCACCCAGGCCGCCGGGAGGGAGCGATGCTGATGGAGGAGCAGAGGGGTCTGCCGGAGGAAAGGAGCCCTGCCCCGTCAAGGGGGGCTGCCTCGGCGAGGTCTAGTCTTAGTGCCAGAGCAGCTGGGAAACATAATGGAAAAACTGCAGCAGAAAGGAGGAAAAATGGCTATGCGTGAGATGTGCATAGCTCGTGGATGACTACCGTGTGTAGCTAGGGGTGGTTTAATGAGGAGCGGTAGTATGGGCTTGTGGCTCCTAAATGAGAGGAGTGCTGATGAGCAGTAGGCTCCTTATTTAGAGAAGCAGTGAGTGGTGTAAGGGGAAATAAGCGGGTGTTGGTATGCATGTTCCTCGCAGACATCGCCTTTACTACAGGATGTATTCTTCAGCTGTTGGCCCTCAAATTTTTTTTTCCAGGGGTGACTTGTCAGCTTTTGTCCCCTCCTCTCTGAGGTGCTATATGCGGTCTGCTGTTGCCACTGCTCTTTCTAAGCATTAGTTAATAGTCCTCTCCAGAGGATTTGTACCAGCTGATACATTTACAGTATGAAAACCACAGGGGTATCTAATACAAGCATCTCATTTCCTGCAGGAAACAGAACAGTCATACTGCAGGGTTGTGTTTTGTTGTTTTGTTTTTTTTTTTTTTATGATCTAAGCAGAGGGCTTATTTGGCCTCTTAGCAGTTGCCATAAATCTCGCTTTTCTGTTAGCATGGAAATGCTGATTTGCTTTTGTGTTAGCTTGCTTTGCATTTTCTTGTAAAGTTGTGTGATATGCATGGATTTTTGGTGGTTATCTATGTGCACCACAGATGTTGGGTAGTCTTATGTCTGTCTTTGTAAAACTGTGTTTCCATGTTATTGGATTCCTTCATTCCTGTTGGTGGATGAGGGGAGGAGAAATACAGCAATGCACAAAAGGTATAAGCAATGTTTGCCAGAATTGTAGTGCTCTAATTCTAAAACAACAAGTCATGGGCTTTTTTATATCCCGTAAGATTCCAGTAGGCTCTTATGTAGGATACCAGTACAACCAGTGAAAGGAAAGAAGATGCAATTCCTACTCCATGGAATTAATAATACTCTTTGTAAAATATTTCTTCTGATACTTAACTGTTACGTTATTTACCTCTAGAATTTTAAATATTCATTTTAAAAAGTGTATTTTTAAAATGTTTTTCTTCCTGTAGCCTCTGAAAGTATGTTGTGACCAGTATGGCTACGAGAAGGCAAAGATACAGGTTGGTGGCCTTCATCTAGAGAGCAATGTAGCTGCTTGAACAAAAGGATCGTGAAAGATACTGCGTGTAATCTGTAACATGGGTGGTTGTCATAGTAAACTAGAGCATTAAACACCTGTTCAGAAACAATGCAATTTGAAAAATAAACCATCTCCAACTCTTGGCCCTCTGAAAGAAACTCAACACTCTCAAGACTCTGTGTTGAATTTTGAAGTAAATCTGTGTCACAATCAGAAAATGCTCTCTTGATCTCCATATCGCAGCGAGGAAATGCTGGATTATTGTTTCAGCTCTGGCAGATCAGGGCCTGACATAAATGTTTGATTTGGATCTTGGGAGAGCTGCAGGTGCTTCATGCTTCTGTTTGCAAAGAAGTGGAAATGCTGCCCTAGATAAGAGGAGAATATTTAGAATGGGGAAGGGTTTATTTGTCAGAGAAAGGATAAGGGAAAATTGCCTTGTATAAGGTAATCATTTTCAGTCTTGCACAGAGGAAGAGACTCATGATGTATACAAAGGTCTTAGAATAAAGAATATTATCAGCTTGATATTTTACAGCATTTCTAGTGGCAAATATCCCTGTCCCCAAGGTTTTCCTGGTGGAGCGAACCTAAAAAATGTACCTTTGCTAGAGAGAGGAGGAATATTCTTGTAGTTCAACATGGAGGAAATACATAGCAGAGGGGAAATGGTGAATTCGGGGACAGCAGAAAGACATCACAGAATAAACAAAGTTGAGCAACAGTGTTGGTGTGGGCTTTGTTTCTTTTTAAATGCAAGCTTGTAAATAATAGCTTCGTTTTGGTTTGCCCTTGTATGTCTTGTACATGAACTGGGGCAAGTTAAGAGGATGTTATCAAAATCTTAGAGGAAAATGAAATGTATATTTTAAGGAGCTACTGCTAGATAGCAAAAAGGTATGCAAATACATGGGCTAGTATCAGAACACTAATAATCTCTAGAGTCTCAAAATAAGTAGTATATTAGAAGAGAAGCTTCTATATATGTTTGAAAGCAACCTTTCTCTAGAAGCATACCCATTCTTTCGTTATGTCAAATGAAAACAGTCAGCTTGATGAGCTCTGCATTTAAGTTCCCAAAATATTATGAAGTCTCAAAGGCTTGTTTTAGTGTATGTTGTAAAATAGCTCTCGAAGAACATGTTCTTGCCTGTCACAGCTTTCCCCAAACTAATGTCTCGTGCTGCACATGATGTTTTGAAGCTCCCCTGTAACCTACATTTGGAAACACTTAATGTCATAACCCGTAATTGTGAAAAGGGGTGTGTCTGCTAAGTGTCCTCCCACATAAGTAAGTGGATCTGTCTCAGGTGGCTATAACTGAGATGAGGGAGCTTTGCTGGTGCACTGGTTTGGGTTTGTTTGTTCTTGAAGATGAACCCACATAAAATGGAAGCTTTCCACTACAATTGTCTTTTTCTTTTTAATGTCTATTTTAGACAGAAAGGGCTTGAAACCTTGAGGTGATTATTATTGTGCCCTGTATTATCTGAGTTCCTTTTTTTCTTTTTTCATTTTATTTTTACAAGCGAAAATGTTAATCTGCACCAAATTCTTAGGATGCTTTTGCTAACCTCAAGATGAAGACTTTTTTAGGCATATGTATTTATTGCACTGATTTGCAGGGCTTGGTCAGAGTCTTGTACCTTTGGTTTCTGTCTTGTTTTTTTGGTCTTTTCTTTTCCTTTTTTTTTTTTTCATATTTTATTTCCGGAGAGCTGCAAACACTTGTCTACAAGACTGTTTAGCTGCTGATTTCCTAGAAACTGTACAAACATTACAAATCACTTTATAGAAGCAATTCCAATTCTCATTTCCAGGCTCATATTTTAAACTGTTTTGGGAGCAAGTGAGGTAAAGGCAGACTGGCTTTAGACAAAGTGCTAACCACTGTGGTATAATCAAGGCTTATGTAATGTTGAAGTAAGACATAGGCAGATTTTTTTTTTTTTCTTAGCTATTGTCTTGTAGTATCATCTAGCTCCTCTTTTGTTCCATTTCCCCTGACTCCTGCTTGCTGTCCTAATTTTGGATGACTTTCTCAAGCAGAACTCATTCTTTTGCACTTCCCTGCTAAACTGAAACTGAAAGTGTTAGAAGTAAAAGCTTTCCTGTTCAACAGAAACTGAAAGTAATGATGCAGGGATTGAGGAAGGGAAAATGGAGATAGTAATGTTTTTTGTTTGCTTGTTTGTTTGTGTTTTTTTGTTGGTTTTTTTTTTCATTTTAAAGGTACTATAGCTGCTTGCACAATACTTAAGTTTTGACTTGATAGTGAAATTTAGATGTGTTTATGTACAGAAGTGTATAAAACATACAAAGAAACACTGCTTCCCTGAATTAATAGAAATCAAACACATAGATGCCTTGTCAAGCAAGGGGAGTTCTGAAGTGGTAGGTGTATAACAAAAGTAATGCTTTACTACAGTTTCTTTTTTTTAACTACACACCTGTTGACTCTTGTCAGAATTAACCTGTATTGCAAGAGAGGTTTCTGCTCTGACAGTGGATTTTAGACTGCAGTTGCAGTCTGTTATTTATATATGCTGCCTCAGCAAACCCTCAAGTTTATCATCCCAAAACCAGTTTTAAGTTTTACAATTAAACCGAATAAATCTTATTTAAAAATAACTTTAACTTTTATATAGTTTGAACTCATGCTGATTGATAAATACCTGAATTTAGTTTAGCTGGATGTGCTGATACTTCTCCTGTACCTGTGTAAGAGTGTGTTCTTAGAGTGCTTTTCTGTTACCACAAAGATGATCTTCCACCTAATATCCATAACAGAGCTGGATATCATTGTTTGTGTTCCACAGTTGGATGCTCTTGTTGCATCCTATATATGCCTGTTTTCTCTTTACAAAAAAAAAAACTGTTGGTTTGTGCTGATCCTTAACGTTTTAGGATCCTTACAACCAGGTAGTTCTAGCATGTACATAATGGATATATCATTGGTAGGAACAGATATTTTCAGGACTTTGAAATAATGGGCTCCAAGTACTGACCAATGTCATAAAATAAATGGGGTTTATAATCCGTAATCCTTTGCAAGAGACATTCACATGTCTTTTGAAATGCTCTTCTGCTTTTGTTGTAAGTTATGGCATCATATGAAGTGCTCTACACACTCCTTGCAGATGAGCAAACCAGTAGACAGAAGTCATCAGGACATGTTGGAATTCTTAATGTTGGTAGTCTTTTTAAAGTGTACTGAAAGCAATCCCTGAAATACAACATTTTTCTTTATTCTGTAGATTACTAATTGCATTTAGCCCATAATTAGCTGGTTTAGTTGATTTCCATTCTTTGATTAATTTTGCTTATTTTTTAATCACTTAGCATGGGCTAGAACAAAAAAGTGGCATTTTTTTCTTAAATGCTAAGCACAGCACTGCTGGGAGGCTCTAGCTGCTGTACAAGGGTCAGTTCTGCAGCTGTTACTTAGGCAATATGAACTCTGGGTTATTAGGCAAGCTTTGTATATCAGCATGTATTCCACAAATGCTTTTTGTAACATAGTGCTTAATTAAGCAAGCTATGATAGTAACTTCTTTGTAATTTTAAGTTCCCATTGCCACTGTAACTTCTTGACTGCCGAAATTTTAAAGAGCTTGTTAAACTTTGGATTTGAACGTTTTCCCTTTCCCTGTGTCATCACCTCTATCCCCCAGGTTTATAAGACATACAGTTTGAAACTTTGTTCCCATGTTCATTTGTTTCCACTGCCCAATGTCACAACCCATATTTCTTACCTTGCCAGACCTTTGGCAGTCCTTAATTGAATTGTAACATATTTTTTTTTTCAATCTCCAAGATAACTGTGTGAGTAATAGTTATATTGTGGGATTATTTCTTCTCCCATTTTAGCATCTTTGACACAGTGGAACTATACAAATGTGGGGAAATACTGGGGTTTTGTGTGGGTGTTTTGGTTTGTGTTGCCTTTTACTTGTTTGGTTGGTTGGTTGGTTTGTTTTGTTGGATTTTGGTTTTTTTTCCTCTAAAGTCCTGGCTTTCTTCAATTTACTTTTCAGGTCAGGTACCATTTGAGCTTAGAAAGTTGAGTTAATTTTCAAAAAACTTTCTTCTTTTTAATCCAGCATCCTGGCTGAGCTGTGAGGGAAACTTGCCTCTCTCTGTGCTTACCAAGTTTAACTTATTTGCTGCCTGTTCTAGAAAAGATTTGCTTTTATTGAATGAGATGGAAAGGGTTCCCCTCCACAGACTTCTGAATAATAGTAGAGAAACAAAATGGTGCAAGTAAGATAACAGAGCTGTCGCTTGCCCACCAGTAGAAGAGTTACCATTTTGCATTGGGGAAGTCTTGACTTTGCAGTGTTTTCTTAAATTTTGTGTGGTTTAGATATTTTGTAATGCCTAGACAATTGATGTGTTGAGCAGATTAGTAAAAGCATGGAGCAGATGTTACTCAGCCCATTGACTGGTGCCACAGTCCAAAAGAAATCTAAGGCTGTGTTTCACTGAAGATGCAGATCTATTTTTAGAGATGAAAAATGTACGTCATTAGTTATTACTTAGCGTGTTCTTAATAAAAACAGCCTTTTGTAGCCAGTTAAAATCATCTAGTTATGGTTTAGACTTGCAGCCTTGCATGGTTGTTTAGCCCTGGGAGGTATTTGTTGTGCTGCAGTCATCAAGAAATCTTTCACTTTATGGGCAGAAGCTTTGTCTTGCTGTGCAATTACTTACAACTGTCTGACACAACTGGTTTAGTTTTTTTTAATATTTTAGTTGTTTTCTTTTGATTGAGATAAATTCAATAAGGCTGGGTGATTTGTTGGCTTTTTTTAAATCCCCAGAGTGCAGGGTCTTGGAGAAGTGCAGCTTCATAACTGGCCTGTGCACATCATACTTACGCCTTTTCCAAAACGTGGATAAGCATGTTAAGTATAATGACTAGTGGTATTTCATATTATCCCTGTAGCACTGTATATGTGAAACTCCTTCTCATGGTTTGTCTGCACATGACTATTGAATACAAGTTTAAGGACTTAAAACCTCTCTAGATAAGCTGTATGAAGAAGGGAAGGATATGTAGTTTGGGACTGGACAAGATAAAGAGTATTTAAGAAAATACATATTATTTCATTTTCTGTGTTCACATGCAAAGGATCAAAAAGCCCCAAGAAAAACCTCCTGTTAATGTTCGTAACATAAGGCATAGCATCAATCACTTGTAGTGGAAGATCTGAACTGATAAGATCTCTTTGAAGTCAAACTTGAATTGGTTCCTCATAATCTGGTATTTTACATTTGTTTGTTTTTAAACTTAAGTGGAATTTATAACTCTACAATCTTATATTTAAAGTCATGTTAGGTTTCAAGACTAATAAATTATTCTTTCCCCAAATACCATTACTGTAGTAAGGCAAATTCAGGTCATATTTTAAATGCTGTTACCTTTATTTCAGCTAAGAATTTATATTATGTGGGAACAGCATGCATTTTTGAGTTTATAAAGCTATGTGAAAGTAGAAAGCTCTCCCCTCCTGGAGTATTTAAAATAACAAAAATAACTGGGAAGTCTTCCACTTTCTTTTAAGACAACTTTCATTCCTAGGAAGGGCAAAAAGGAAGCTCTCAGCAATCAGTTCGAGCAAATTGTCTAGTTGGTCTTCAGAAGCTGAAGAAAAGAACGTTCCTTCTGTGGTTTGGGTTAGTGCATGCAGTGGAGATAAGAAGCAGGCTGAAAAACATTTG